AGAGTGTGCACACGTATCCGATTAACCATCGGCCAGAGAAATGAAAGTTTAAGTTTAAGTTACCGATCAGATATCGGTTTATGATTATCCATATTCGTTACTCACCCCCATGAGTTTTAGTTTCAGGTAACAGGTTAACGAGGAGGTGTGAGAAGAGCCGTGTGGTGTGGATCGTGGAAGAAAATGAAGACAAGCTTTAATGTGGACATTTATAAAGTTTGTATAATTAACCACGTTTCAAATATTTCTGCTACGCACATTAATTATTAAACTTGCATTTTAATGAATTTTAGATTTCAAGTTTTTATGAGAAATATGATGATAATATGTTAAATGCAAGTTTAAAGGAAATCTGTTTTAATAAGACTGAAGAAGTATTAGACAACAGTTTAAAGATAAACGGATTTTCAAGAAGACGAGTTTAGTAGAATCCCGAGTAAGTTGCAATTATTTCAAAAAAGTTAAAGTGATATCGAAGTAAAAGGTTGCGAAAAAGTTACTCTGATAAGCGGGGTGTTACAGATATACTTGAATTATGTGAACTCTGTGAAAATATGTGATGTAAGTTATGACCACTCGCTTCCGTGAGCCCAACCCAATTGCTATGTAAATTTCGTTGGCCCATTGTGAGATTAAAGATGATCCAATACCCTTGCAAATCCCTTGGCCCAAAGGATATTAGTTGGTGGCCCAAATTGAGCAAAGATTGAGCTCCATTATCTCCTCCTCGCAATTGCACGACCAGGTCCCAGATTCAGAACTCGTTGCGATATTTCTGCGAAAATATTCTCGCCCATTCACTCGATAATCTCTCGCAATCATCTCTTAAATCTCGGCCGAGAGAGAGACTCCCCTTCACATCAAATTCGCTAGTTCGAATTCGCGATCCCTCTCTGCTCTGTTTCGCTAAGCGCCGCCTGAATTTCTGTCGCCATTTTTGTCCGGCGAGCCCACCTTCGAGCAGCAGAGGCCATTCTCTTTTTCCGCCCCGAGCAAGCCGTCGGTTTCCTTTTCAGCGAACAACCCGGATTGTGAAATTTCAGCCGGCGACTTCAGCGAGGTCGGCCGTCGCAATCAACGGGAAGCACCCGGCCATCGCCGGAGGTGCGGCCTCAGTCCGATAGCCACATCAAATCCCGTTCGATCAGCCCCTACTCGCCAAGAAACCCAGCGGAGATGTGTCTGTTCACGTCGGGAATTTACCCATCCAGCGTCGGCAGTTCCCGCACGCGACAGTTCCTTCACCGCCGGTCTTCGTCCGCAACAGCCGTCCCTTCACGTCAGCGGCGCCGTCGTCATTTCAAGCTGGCGACCATCGTTTTTCCTTCCAGCGAGCAGTAGCGGCCCTCTTGTTCAGTATCGGTGGGAGATTTCGAGCAGCGGGTCTCGTCTTTCTTCACCATTGCCGACCCAGGCCGAGGAGCAATAAGTTCCGACGATTTTTCCTCAGCCGTGCGATCACAGCAGTTTCCGTTCCCTTCACGGCCTGCCGGAGAAGAGAATTCCACAGCCATGTGCCTCGTTCAGCGTCCGAACAACAGCGGCATCCCCGTCGGCCTTCGTTTAGCGGCCCAACCATCAGCGGCAGACCTTCGAGCCCCGTACGAGAGTAGCGGCAGACGTCGAGGCCTCTCATCAGCGGCCGGGAGCAAAGGGCGTTCATCCGAGACGAGCCGTGGCCCGAGGCCTCCATCCCCGGTCCCTCTTTTGCTGCACGTATAGTCCCCCGACGAGAGGTGATTTTCGCCAAAATCCCCTTTTCTTTGTGAAATCTGGACCTTACAAGTTGTGTTATACATGGTGTGCAATGTGAAATTTAGATAACCGTGGATATTTGGGAATGAATTTGGTGTCATTTTCTTGGGTGTTTATTTGTGTAATTGGCTATATAATGAACATGAGAATGAGATACGCTTTCTTGTTGTTGGCCCGAGTTTTACGGACTGTTTTTGCTGAGATAGTATGATGCGTTTTAGCATGCTGTAGATGTAGTATTTTTAGAGATTTTTTTTCGGTTATTTGGCCCTTGAATGTTATTAACTCAAACATGAGAAAAGGAAATGAAAGATAGGCTTATTGGGTTGTTTCCTTGGCCATTTGTGATGTTGTTGCTGAAGCTCATGGTGTCTTTTCGTATGCTTAGCGTAGGTGATTTTTTTTTTTTTGGCTGTGAATCAGTTAAGTCATGTGGGCTTAATAATTTTCTTGTTTTGGCCTAGTTCTATGTTGTTTATGATACGCTAAAATTTGTGAGAATTGCGAATTATTGTGTGATTATTTGTTTGAGATTGGCGGTAATTCTGACTTGAATTTGAGTATTTATATTTGTGTGTTTAAAATTGGGAATAGAGATGTTGTTGAACTCGTACTAGTTAGATTTGGTTGATTATTGGAGTTTCAAGCAGCATGATTTTCTGATTTGAGCTGGTTTAGATGTTCTGGTGATACCTTTTCTAGACTTGATTGATTTTAGTCTCATGGGACATATTCGAACACTTAATCATATTCAAAGTATTTTTAATGGTCTCCTACTTTTTGTTGAATTTATATTTGTTGATGATGATGTTTCCTGACTATCATGGTAAAAGGCTTTTGTGAGTTTGGATGTAACTTATCAATCGTGTTCTTTATCCAACCCAATGATTTCGCAATTACTCTAGTCGGAGTCAATAAACTATCATCCAAATTATAACCATTGTAGTAAGCTTTGAGGCCTTAGATATTGTTTTGTGAACTTGAAAAATATGTTTAAGTACTTTTGACCCGGCAGTGCTCGTAGAATTTAGGAACTCATTTTATCCATTTAAATTGCTTTTATTTAATTTATATATCTGCCTTATCTGCCTGATTTATCTTAATTGTTTGTCTGATTAATCGTTTCATTGCCTTGTTTTCCTTGCCTGTTTTGTGCCTTAATTAAATAATTTTCGGAGTGGTGAGATAAAAGATTAATGGGGATTATCTCGCTAAATTTAGGTTTCCTAGGAGTCGAACCCTCAAACCTACCATGATCCTTGCTTTTGTCTTTCCGGTCTTTTTCGACCAGGTGGGTTTAATGTAAAAATTATCTATGCTGTAAATGTTATTACTGTTTTAAATTTTTGGTATGATGAAGTATGCATGTGAAACATGTAGCCTTCGATGTGAGCTGTACCGGCCGTCGAACGGTTATCCCCGTATCTATAGAACGTACCCGTTGGGTAGTCTCCTTATTATTGTGAGCCGTAAGTCCTGGATTAAAGGTCCCTGTGCTGGACACATTTTGAGCCGTAAGTCCTGGGTTAAAGGTCCCTGTGCTGGACACATTTTGAGCCGTAAGTAAGTCCTGGGTTAAAGGTCCCTGTGCTGGACACATTTTGAGCCGTAAGTCCTGGGTTAAAGGTCCCTGTGCTGGACAACCCCGTTGGTAAGACCAAGGTGAGGCCTTGGCCGGCGGGATACTCCTACTGGCCGGACACTCGTTGTAAGGCCTTAGATAAGGCGTTCGGTATATAGTTCGGCAGTAGTCTATTGCTATAGGTGTGCACATGAGTCTATTATTGATATGATTGATAGGAGATTGGGATAATTAATTGAGTCGTATTCATGTTGAGACCATACCTTATTGATTATTGATTACTGTTTCATTATTGTGAATAATGTTTACTGCATAGTGGTGAGCACTACTTTTTCCAACTGTGCTCATCCCCACCTGAAATTCACGTTTCAGGTTAAGCGAGGCAAGTACGACGGCGGAGTAGAGCGAGTGGTGGTCGGTCTATGAGACCGGTTATTAATTGATTTTGCTTCCGCTATATTTATGACTATTTATGATTTATGCATTTCCGAACTTTGAGAATTTATGGAGTATTGAGATACTATTGGAGAGATGCCCCGTTGACATTGTCATGTCTTTAAACTTGAGATTTATTTTGGGAACCCGTTTTGGGCGAATTGAGAATTTATGGATTTATGAATCCCGTTTTGGGAGTTAGATGATTTATGTTATGGTAGTGATTCGAACTAAATGAGTAACGCCACAAATGTTTGTAATAAATTTGAAAAATTTATTCTGATTTTCGGCAAATAAAAGTGGGGCGTTACAGCTTGAGCGTAAATCGATCTTGGAAAATACGCAAGCTCCTCTCAGCTGGTCAAACAATTCATCTATCCTGGGGAGCGGATACTTATTCTTCAGTGTTAACCGGTTGAGATCCCGGTAATCAATGTACATTCTCATGGATCCGTCTTTCTTCTTGACGAATAGGACGGCTGCTCCCCAAGGTGAGACGCTCAGTCGAATGAAACCAAGTTTCAACAACTCCTCGATCTGCGTCTTCAGCTCCTGCAACTCCTTCGGAGCCATTCGGTAAGGTGCCTTAGACACCGGTCCTGCTCCTGGAACAAGATCAATGGTGAACTCAACCTGTCTGCTGGGTGCTCCTCCTGGTAGCTGATCCGGGAACACATCCACAAACTCACGGACCACTGGAACATCGTGAGGTGTCTGTGCTCTCGATCCCTCATCAACAAGGCTCACCAGGTATCCCTGACAATCTCCTCTGTGCAGAATCTTTCTCCAAACACTCAGGTAATGATAGACCACGAGTGGAACGGCTGGAGAAGTGTAAGGCTCGGTGAACCTCTTCCTTCTTCCCTCTCGCACGTGTGTGGCTTGGCTAGCACAATGCCTTCGATTTTTCTCTCTGTTATGGGAAGGTGAAATGCTCAAATTCTATAAGTATCTAAGAGCTGAAATGCTGCTGAGGAGGGGCCCTTTTAAAGAGCATATGGGCGGAGAGAACAAAGCAAGAAGTGGAGACAAATGCTAATGGCTTCCTTCATCCTATACGCATGGCATCTCTTGGCATGGTCCTGGAGTTCCACAACCTGACTTGCACGGAAATTTGGAGCATTTTGCAGAGCATATGGCTGAAGATAGCAGGTCTGGTGGTGGCAGCACTATAGGACAAGGTCCCAAGTATAAAAAAATGCACATGAACATGTCCACTCACCTTAAAATATTCTTAATGACCCTTGACCAACCTTAAACACACTTAGTGCTTTCTTGAGCATAATTTACTCCCTTAATTCTCCAGAATAACCCCATAATCTTGGGCCATGGATTTGGGCTCAGAAAAACTCGACATTGGGCTGAAGAATGCCACTCGCGTGGGCTAGGCGCAAGGGCCTTGCGCGGGGCTTGCTGGGCGTGGAACACTTGCGCGCCGGCTGAAAACAAGGCCAACTCTTGGGCCGAGTCTATGGCACTACCAAGGCTGAATAAATATTCCATGACACTTAGAAAATTCCATGCATAAACCAAGGCCTTGGCTTGGCAATAGAGTGGGCTCGCGGCACTCGACACGAGGCATGCTAGGGCTCGACATCACTTGGGCCGAACACATCACTTATCCAAGGCTGTCATGGGACCTTGAATACTTAGGAAAATTCTCTTTAACTCTCGATGATGACATGGTGCGGACTTGGCACGACTTTAGCCCTAACTCGCGAACCCTAGGCGCGAGTGATCTTGGGGCCACGCATCAGCTAGGTGCGGTATAAACGGTCGAGAGAAATGATATCTAAGACTCGATGAACATGATCTCATACTTAGAAAATATTCTAAGTAAGATTATGAGCACGGCTAGGGCTCGAACGAGATTTGGTACGGCTAGGGCTCGATACTTGACTTGGCACGGCTAGGGCTCGATACTTGACTAGGTGCGAACTAGGCGCGATACTCGTGACCGAACGACTCAGTTCCAGACACGGCTTGACTTGGACGATATATCGAAACGTACTCGGTTTCGATTATTCATCAACTTGGATAATTAATTCCGACTGAATAAAATCCATTTCTAAAATAAATGGACCGGAATTAATAACTGAGATTGAATAGCTGATAACTAGGCTCGGAACTCAAGACGAGCAGTATTAATAGAAAGAAATAGTTCAACTTGGAACTAAAAACTGTCATTTTTATTAATACAGAACTGAGCTATTACAATACCCATTACGCACCCCTACAAGGCGAAATCAATCGCCAAGTTTGTAATAGTCCAGTTCTGTATTAATAAAAGTGACAGTTTTTAGTTCCAAGTTTGAACTATTTTCTTTTATTAATACTGCTCGTCTTGAGTTCCGAGCCCAGTTATCAGCTATTAAATTCCAGTTATTAATTCCGGTCCATTTATTTTAGTAATGAATTTTATTCAGTCGGAATTAATTATTCCAGTTGACGAATAACCGAGACCGAGTATGTTTCGATAAATCGTCTAAGTCAAGCCATGTCCGGAACCGAGTCGTTTGGTCACGAGTATCGCACCTAGTTCGCGCCTAGTCAAGTCTCGAGCCCTAGCCGTCCTGAGTCTTGTTCGAGCCCTAGTCGTGCTCATAGCTTTACTTAGAATATTTTCTAAGTATGAGATTATTTTATCGAGCCTGAGTCATCGTTTCCCTCGGCCAAGTATAACTGCACCAAGCTCGTGCATAGCCAAGGTCACTCGCGCCAAGGTTCGCGAGTGCGCATCAAAGTCGTTCCAAGATGGCCCTATCTATAGCCGAGTGATGACGGAAACTTTCCTAAGTGTTAGCCGGGCACTTAAGGGTATTTTTCCTAAGTATTTTCGTT